TATAATTAAATTTGGAAAATAGCATACCGCAAGAATGCAATAGCTAAACATGCATATACTCAAAATATTCTTGAACATTTCCATGAAGCATATTGGACTCAATAGATGTTCTGTACGTTCTAGGAAACTTTAGTTAATATGTAATTAGAGAAAATCTCTAAAGAAAGATAGATAAATAGATAAAAAGAGAAAAAAATAGAAATAGAAAGAAACTATATAAAAAATGTTACCTTAGAATTCTTAAATGATGTTCGATGATTACACTTATTTCATCAATGTGTATACTCTTATTTTCTTTTTGTGGCTGATTTACAAATTCTTGAATCCACGTAATCATTATAGTTAATTGACCAATAGCGTGATATGCAAATACTGAAGCAAGACTGAAAGCGATAACAACAGTAGCACTACTTGTGTATGATGTCAGATATTGCAAACTAAGAATGATACCATGCCCTGGATTAGTATCAACCGGAATTTTGTAAGTTGGAAATGGTAAGACATATATTTCCATACTATCATTGCCAATTTTGATTGTCTTTTTCAAAACTCCCAAAACGATGCAGAAACAAAAAGTACCAATGTGCATAAAACCTGCGATACAACCGGAAATGATGCGACCAATTTTCGCGCTTTTAAGCATCACTTGCTGATCTTCCATCCTTGTAATTATTTTCCAATCAGTTTCTATGTGTTTTATACAATATCGTATATCGTTTTTACGGAGCAACAACACGGCGTAATTAAATCCTCCCCCAAAGCAGTAGCTTATAGGGCCAAGTGTTTTTAGTTTCGAAACAATATCCTCTTTCACGAAAATAAAATGCAATGAACTTGCTAATATAATAAATAATAAAATGATCCAATAGAAGAAAATTAGAATTTTTGTCATTATCTTTTCGAATTTTGAGGTGAAGGACGGAAGTGGCCATACACCTATCATTTTCGAGAGCCATCTGTTCAATTGTATGCTATATTCGTTCAAACTACCAAATTTCTTTTGAACCGCGACAATGTCATCTGCCATCGTGTTTCCTCGATGAAGTTGCAGAAACGACTGAACGATATACACACAATATTATACAGATGATGTGCGCCGATCGATACACTCCGTTGACAATAGTTATGTGCCAATACTTAATCCATGCATTTACGTTTTATTTCGTTGAAGATAGTTGTATAGTACGTATGATGGAATGATAGAGATATACATACATATATATATATTGTAACGAAACAATAAAATTCATAAAAAAAGACCCTATAAGTAAAGTGTTATTTTGAAGTATGATGTGTGTTACTTGTAATGTTAATCGAGAAATTAATAAATGAAAAATAATAGAGAATAAAATAAATATTTTATTCTTTTTAATAATCATAATGATATTCAAATAACAAAGTGTAGTGTGTGATTAACTTTTTTAATATGATTTTCAATGTAAGAAAGAAATCAAATTTTAATTTTTCTGTCTGCCTTAAATATGTTAAATGAATTTGAAACACAGAGTTTTAAAATTCTATTGTTTAGTTACATAATAGGATTATGAAATTTATTCATAATTTTAAAATTTAATTTATAAAATGAATATTGAAATAGTAATTTCAATATTTAAAAAAAATAGTAAAAATTTCGAAATAATAATCATTTTAAATTATGATAAAATTTTTATAGTGTCACAAAATCTTTATTTAGTTAAATGATTTTAATACGATGACATGTGATAACAAAAAATAATTAAATGAAATATGAATTATTATATATATAATTTAATAATATAATAAATGAACTCACTCATTTTTTTATTTGAATTTTTCAGTTCTTCAATTTTGTTGAATTCGAAATTGAAAATATCAATATCAAATGTCTTTTTTTTTTTTGATAAATTATGTCAATTCATCATGTAAGTTAACAAACCAATATTTTGCATTATGATAGATAATTAAAAATGAATTCTATCTTTTATTTCAAATAATAAGAAATAATTTATATAAAAATACGATATCTGTTTCGATAAAATTTCACCATAGTATGAATATAAATATTGAACAATATAAATAAATTATATATAATAAATTAATGTCTATAATTTCATTTTTATTTTTTTTTAAAAAGTTTTCATTTTTAAAAAGTTGAGAATGAAACATAATATATATTACAAATTCAACGAAACTTATTTCATTTAAAAACTTTTTTTTGAAATATAAAATTGAAAATTTTCCATAAGTATAGTATAATATTATCATTTAAATTTACATATATTTTATCCTAATATGATGTTCTATAATATTGTTTAATTGTTATTTATGCGTTTTTTCGTTCTTTTAGGTTATCGACAAAACATCGTTATAAGAATTCCAAACTGTTCACAATTGAGTATAATAAAAAATGATAATCACATTATAAGCACTTGAAAAATGAAATATCACAACTAAGCATCAAATACATGATTTCAAAGAACAGAATGATGCGTAGAAAAAGTTCACAATCTCATTATCGATCATTTCTACCTCTATGTAAAGAGTTCATCACAATGATATAGAAATATTCATCGGAATATATGAAATTGAAGCAGAAAATTTTTAAAAATCGATTAATTCTCGCATTCTTCATCATTTTTTTTTATATTCCAGACATTGTTGCAAAGAAGTATGAGACCAGTCGAGTTCAATTGTATTTTTATCCTTAATGTACTTTTTGATAATTTACTCGAAATGAAAATGTATTTCGAGGAGAAACTGAACGAATTGATCATTTTGATTTTAAGGTCGAAATCTTCTGTTTTATCGAGAAGAGAAATGCAAGATACTAGTAAGAAATTCATTAGAAAGAAATTATTAACATGAGGATCACAAAATGAATTTTCTTCTCAGTGAGAGAAGAATCTATTAGTATCAACAATTAACAACTTATCTGGACATCCAATCTCTACTATAAATGGATGGCAAGTTTGTAAGTACAAACATAATGATAATTTACGAAAAAAATGTACAGATAATTGAAAGGAAATGTTAAAATGCACAAATGATCGATATTATCGATATACGATTATCAATACTTTTAATAAATCGATTTCAATACTTTTGATAAATCGATTTCAATACTTTCGATAAATCGATTTGTGTGAATTGTTGCGAGTGCGATTAAACTCTCTCTTGATTCGATTCGATAAGTGCTTATATTAAAATGGAAAGATATTGCATATACAGTGAAAATATTAAAGAGATAAATTTTTAGATACGTTTTATATTGTGATATTTATGTTTTGTGTTTTAATTACAATACTTTTCTTAAGAATAATACTGAATAATTTTTTTATAAATTCATTTTAAAATTTTTTTGTACATGCTTTCTAATAATAATAATTATATGGACCAATGATTATTCAAGTGAATTTTTTCTTAGAAAGTAAAATTTATAAAAAGAATATCTTAAATATTTGAAGATTCGAAAATATGATGCATGTCAGACAATATCAAAGAATTAATTAATCAAAGTAAAAAATTTATATTCTTTCATTTAATATTGTAATAATTATTTTTTTTAATATTGCAATATATAATACTGTATTAAATTTTATAGATATTGAATATATCACAATAAAAAAATTAATCTTAATTTTTCTGATTTAGAATTGATTTTTTTTTAATTGATTTGATTGTATCACAAAATTACATTCATTTTAAATTATGTAAGTATTATACAAATAGAAAAAAATTTTTATGTTTTCTTTATAGCGTATATATGGAAATGTATTATAATAATAATATAAGATTGCAAATTAGAATTTTTTGAAAGAGAGAGATGCAACTAATTATTATGAATGAAACAAACATTTTTTATATTTTCAAATTTATTCAAATGTAATTAATAATATGCAAAATTTATTTTCAAATATTTTTTTTGAATATTTGATACATATTTTTTATGTGCTTAATACATAAAAAATGTTTATATATAAAAATTTACAATATTGTCATTTGGCGTAATATATTTAAGTACACAAAAACAGTTTTTACAATCTGAAATTGTAAATATATTTGTATTTTTGATAATGTATATCAATTAATGATATATTTTATAAAGAATTGAAAAAATCAGACGTACATTACCAAATGTGATTACCGATATATCAATTATTTTTCCGGCAGTCATTTTATATTCCACGCCAGATCGTGTAATAATCATTATCAAATTAAGAATATCTTTATCAGGTAATCGATACCAATTTGTCATGTAAACCATGTTACGAATTTCTTTACATCTTTCAGTTAATACTTCACCGATATAACATATTAAAAATGTGTTTAAAGTTATACATATTACTGCAAAAGCATATATACCAAGGACCCTAATATCATGTTCAGACCATTCCTAAGAAAAAATGAATATTTTTAATTAGATTAACTATTTATCTACTAATTATAATTATCTACTAATTATCTATGTTGTTTACATTAATTTAATGATTTTCTTATTACTTGAATTTATGAAATTCATAAAAAATTACATATAGAATAGGATTCATTTAATTAATTTCAATTATCTTGGAATAATTAGGTAAAATGTTTTACATTTCCAAAAATAGATTAAACTTAATACTTGAAAAATTTCTAAAATTAAAAAATTAATAGAAATGAATCTTATTCTATGTCAAATTGAATGATTCTATTAAAAGTAAAGAATTTAGTATATTTATATTGTAAATCAGTGTTTTAAAAATTTATGTTTTACTATTTCTGTTTACAGTGATAGTAATGAAATTTGCAGATAATCTGTGTAATACATCAACGTGTGACCAACCAAATTATTTTCAACAAAAAAATACACAAAATTAATTATAGATTTTGAAAACGAAAATCTTAACAAATATATAATTAAATTTGGAAAATAGCATACCGCAAGAATGCAATAGCTAAACATGCATATACTCAATATATTCTTGAACATTTCCATGAAGCATATTGGGCTCAATAGATGTTCAGTACGTTCTAGGAAACTTTAGTTAATATGTAATTAGAGAAAATCTCTAAAGAAAGATAGATAAATAGATAAAAAGAGAAAGAAGTAGAAACAGAAAGAAACTATACAAGAAATATTACCTTAGAATTCTTAAATGATGTTCGATGATTACACTTATTTCATCAATGCGAATATTCTTATTTTCTTTTTGTGGCTGATTTACAAATTCTTGAATCCACGTTACCATTATAGTTAACTGACCAATAGCATGACATGCAAATACTGTAGCAAGGCTGAAAGCGATAACAACAGTAGCACTCATTATGTATGACGTCAGATATTGCAAACCAAGAATGATGGCATGCCCTGGATTAGTATCAACTGGAATTTTATAAGTTGGAAATGGTAAGACATATATTTCCATACTATCGTTGCCGATTTTGATTGTTCGTTTAAAAACTCCCAGAATGGTGCAAAAACAAAGAGTACCAATTTGCATGAAGCCTGCGATGCAACCGGAAATGATGCGACCAATTTTCGCGCTTTTAAGCATCACTTGCCGATCCCCCATCCTCGTGATCACTTTCCAATCGGCTTCTATGTGATCTATACAATAACGTATATCATTTTTACGAAGTAGTAATACTGCATAATTGAGCCCTCCACCGAAGCAATAGCTTATTGGGCCAAGTGTTTTTAATTTCGAGACTATATCTTCTTTCACGAGAATGAAATGTAATAAACTTGCTATTATAATGAATAGCACGATAATCCAATAGAGGAAAATTAGAATCTTCGTTATTATCTTTTCGAATTTTGAGGAAGAGGATGGAAGAGGCCATACTCCTATCGTTTTTGAAAACCATCTATTTAATTGTATACTATATTCGTTTAAACTACCAAACTTTTTCTGAATCGCGACAATATCGTCTGCCATCGTGTTTCCTCAACGAAGTCAGAGAAACGACTGAATGGTATACACACGGTGTTATATGGATGATGTACATCGATCAATAAATATACTCCATAGCTTATACTTCCATAATTATTGGCGACGGTAATCTATGTGTTTATTTTTCATTTCGTTGAAGGTAATATAATGTATTTGATATAGTGATAGAGATTAAATTAGATATCTTAGCAAAGTAAGAAAATTTATAAAAATGCTTTTACAAGTGAAATGTGATTTTAAAAAATATGTAATACTTAATGTCAATCGAAAAGATAGTGAGTAGATAATAAGAAAATAATATATATATATATTTTTTTATTAATCAGTGGTATTTAAATAGTAGAATATCGTATATTGAAGATTGTGATTGTTAATATTTTTGGTAATTTTGGTATAAAAAAAAAATCTACTTTTTTTAAATAATTCATTAAGAAAGTTGTAACGAAAAGAAAAATGTTGTTTGAAATTAGCTCAGGAAGAATTTTTAAGAAATCGAAACATAACAAATGCAATTTTGCTGTTATCACATGATCTCGATTATTAGTTTAGTATAGATAATGAAAACATATATTTCAACATACATTCTACAAATTTAACAAAATATATCTCATTTAGAAACTTGAGATATAAAATTGTTATCCATAAACGCAATATGATATTACTATACAAATTTATACTTACAATATATACTTTTTGCTCTAATATATATAAATAATATTTTACAATATTAATGTTATTTATGCATCTCCACTTATTATATCCTTTTTTAATTCCTTTCAGTTTATCAAGTAATCTTCATAACTTTATTACAAGAATTTGAAATTATCTACAAGCGTGCATAACGACCAAACCAAGCACTTACAGAAACGGAATGTATCATAAATTGTATATAGATCAAGGATAAATCGGGAAAATTCATTGGATTTCATGATTACATTATCGATCTTTTTTATACAAAGCTTTGCAGTCACAAAAGGATTCGCTGGAATATATGAAACTGAAAATTGATCGATGAGTTTTCATATTCTTCATCATGATTTTTTTATTTTCCAAATAGTATTGCAAAGAAGCACGGAACAAATCAGCTGAAATGTCCTTAATGCATTCATGAATATGCTATTCATGCGAGACAAAAACGTAATATTTAATTGAAAAATCTAAATGGATCATTTTGATCTTCGAATCGAAATCTTCTGTTTTGTCGAGGAAAATGCATAAAACACAGGTATTAGGAGGAGACTTAAATTGTGTAAGTATATTATATAAATAGAAAATAGAAAAAATTTATTAAAGATTTATTTGAATGCAAAAATATATAGTAATGTATTGTAAATTATATTATAAGATTGTAAGCTATAAATGTTATTCATTTAATCATTTTATTTAGCCTTAAGTAATTTAGTGTGTATACTGCTAGTGCAGTTGAAGTCTCCTCTTAACCACCAGTTGATTCGATCACAAGAATATGTATGTATAAATTTATTAACAATAAGTGCAAATGAAAGTTCAATGAAATTTTTACAAATATTTATTTTCAATAATAAATATATATAGATACTTGGTAAGATATTTTATTTGCTATTTCATAAAAAAATATTTAATTTATAAATTATAAGAAGAAAATTGCAATTCAGAAATAAATAAAATATTTGTTGAAAATTTCAAATTTCAAATTTAATAATCTAAATATAAGTTGAATATATATATATAGTTTATATCATTGTCATTTGACGTAGCATATTTAAATATACGAAAACTGATTTCACTGTCTGAAATTGCAAATTTTTTCATAAATTTTTGTATGAATAAAAATTATATTTTTTTAATAAAAAAATTATAGAAACTTACATTACCGAATGTAAGCACCGACATGTTAATCAACTTTCCGGCACTCATATTTACACTGATACTAGATCGTGAAATAATCATCATTAAATTAAAGATATCTTTGTTAGATAATTCATACCAATTTGTCATATAAATTATTTCTCCGATCTTTTTACACTAGAGAGTGGTAAAATCGAGTGTAAAAATATAATTAATTATGTATTATAATATTTAATTAATTTACCTGTTCTGTTAGAATTTCACCAATGTAACATATTAAAAAAATATTGCAAGTCATAGATATAATTATCATAACATATACAGTCAAGTTCTGAACATTATGTTCAGACCATTCCTAAAATAAATATATTTAATTAATTATGATTTAGATAAATTTAATAATTTTTTTAATTTATTTTAATTTGTGAAAAAGTATAAAATTATATTTTATATATGTTATTATGTAAATTAGACAAATAATGTATAAACATAAACATTTATAATAATTGTTAATTCATAATATAGATTATTAATAATGATATAGATATATAGAATATCTATGATAAAATATTTTTTAATATGAAATTCGATAAATTATTTTGAAAGTACCAAAAAATAATTATAAATCTATGGATTGTAATATTAATAGATAAAATTGCCATACACACGCATTTTGATATATTTAGCGTACCGCAAGGATATAATAGCTAGGCATGCACATTCCCACCATACATTTGAACATTTCCATGAAGCATATTGGATTCATCAGATGTTCAATATGTGTTATAAAACTGTAGTTAACGAATAATTAGAGAAATTCTTTAAAAAAGTATTAAGATAAGAATCAAGATAAAAGCAACTCTTACCTTAAAATTCTTAAATGATGTTCGACGATTATACTTATTTTATTAACATAGACATCATTATTCAACTCCATTGGTCGATTAACAAACTCGTTGATCCATGCCACCATTATATTCAGTTGGCCAAGAGCATGGCTTGCAAACACAGCAGCAAGACTAAAAGCACCAGCAGCGCTCGAACTGGTAATGAATGCCGACAATAATTGCGTACCTAATATAATATCGTGAGTTGGATTTGTTTGAACTGGTAATTTATAGGCTGGACAAAGTAAACTATATATTTCTATCGTCTCATTGCCGTTTTTGATAGTCGTTTTAAATGCTCCTAATGCAAGGCAAGTACATAAAACGCCACCTTGCAAGAAAGCCGTACAAAAAGCTGCAATGTAACGACCAATTTTCGCATACTTCAACATTACTTGTTGATCTTGTCTTTTCGTGATAATGTTCCAATCAACACGTATATGTTCTATACAATGTAATATATCATTTTTACGTAGCAAAAGCACGGCGTAATTGAATCCTCCGATAAACCAATGACTTAAAGGACCTATTGTTTTTAATTTCAAATAAGTATCTTCTTTTTCTAGGAGAAAATGAAGTACGCCAGGAATTAATGTAAATAATGAAAAACTCCAACAAAGAATGATTAAAATTTTCGATATTATTTTTTCGATCCTAGTAGTATAAAGGGAAGTTGGCCATGCACCTATTGGTTTTAAAATCCATCGATTGAATTGTATGCTGTATTCATTAAGACTACCAAATTTCTTTTCAATTTCTACAAGATCGTCTGACATGGTGTGACCACAACAAAATCGCGCACGCAACTGAATCGAGGATTCAAATGCACTGTATTTACTGAACGCTTGCGCATACTTGGTCAAAGGATGTGCGCCGATCGATTCGTCTAGTCAGTTGATATAACTTTACACTTACGTGAGTATTCATTTCAAATTGTTGATAATAAACATGAATTAGATAATGTGTGTGCAATGGAAATTAAATTGTATATTTATGAAGTAATTAATTTTGGTATTTGTAACATGATTTGATGCGTGCTCTGTGCCAGATAATGTCATTTTAAAAATTAGTGAATGAATTGATTTATTTTTTATTTAGTATTTTATCTAAGCCAGTTTTTTTGATCATGATATTAATTGTCTGGATTTTTAAAAAAAAAGATAATCAAGTTTTTACATATTGTCTTGAATATTATTTTGTCTATTTTGTCCATTTTAATTAAATAAATTACACTATTAAATAAATAAAAAAATTTTCTTTCTGTATATGAAGTATATATGAAAAATATGCTATATTTATATATAATATTATTATAAAACTGCAAATTACAACATTTTGGAAAAAAGAGATGTAACATATTTGATCATTATGGATGAAAAAAATATTTCTTATAATTTCAAGATCATTGAAATATAATTAATATGCAAAGTTTATTTTTAAATATATATTCGATACATATTTTTTTATATGTTCAATATATGTGCACTTTACAATATTGTCATTTGGCGTAATATATTTAAATACGCAAAAATAGTTTTTACTATCTGAAATTTTAAATTTAATATTATGAAAATTTTCGAAAATCAATGATGTATTATTTTAAAAATTAAAAGACGTACATTACCAAATGTAATCACCGACATATCAATTATCTTTCCACCAGTCATTTTGTACTCTATGCTACATCGTGTAATAATCATTATTAGATTAAGAATATCTTTTTTAGGCAATCGGTACCAATTTGTCATGTAGACGATATTACCAATTTCCTTACACTTTTCAGTTAATATTTCACCAACATAGCATATTAAAAATGTTCCTAAACTTATATTCATTGTAGCAGAAGCATATGCACTGAGGGCTCTTATATCACGTTCAGACCATTCCTACGAAAAAATAAATATGAAATTTTATGCTGTTCATATTATTTCTCACGATTTTATTATTATTTGAATTTGTGAAATTTATAAAAAATTACAACAATTATATAGAATAGGATTCATTTCATTAATTTCAATTATCTTAGAATTTTATTTAGTTACTACTACTACTAATTTGTAATTCACTGATAATAATATTTCTTAAAATTATAGGAATAGAAATGTATGATAGGATGAGAATAAAATAGGAATATGAACCATATTCTATATTAAATTGAATGATTCTATTAAAAATGATGAATTTAATAAATATAAATTTATATCTTGAATCAATATTTTAAAAATATCTTAATATTTTTGTTACAGATAATACAACAATTTGTGGATGATGTATTGTATTACGAATGAATCATCATGTGATCAAGTGG